ACAGAACCAGGACTCACTCCTCCTACCCTGCTGTGCTTCTGTACCTGTTAAGCAGTTTCTGCTGTCCCCCTCTGCCCTTCCCAGCCTCTCAAAATCACTATTTTACTCTCTTTTTTGACAAAATCTACTTTTCAAGCTTCCGTATATGATAAGAACACGTGGTACTTATCTTTCTATGCCTGGCTCATTTCACTTAACATAATGGACTTAATGATTTCATCTTAACTTGGATTATTCCCCTATATCAAACCAAATCACATTCCTTCCATTTCTCTCCAATCACAGAAAATCTCTGCATGCCCAACCTGCGGTATCTCATCCTCTCCATAACCACCTGGAGAAATCCTACTTCTTCAAATCAGATTCAGTCACCCTTATGAAGCCTTCCTTGATTCGGTACATGGTGAGAACTGCAAGTCTCTGAAACCCATGGCATTTTGCTTTTATGGAATTTAATCCATCAGGTTCTCCTATGATTTAGATGTATCTGGGCACATGTACAACCTCCTTGGCATCACCCACATTCCCTACAGAGTCATGCCTAACTGACTCTTATATCTCATAGGTGCTCAGCAAATATGGTTGGGTGCATAATTGAATGAAAATATAAATGTTGGATTCTGCTGGAACTTAAATCTCATGGCTTTTTTTAAAAGTAGCAAGATGTCAAACTAACTGTTTGAAGAATTTCCCCATCCCCTTTAAGACTGTAATACAGTGTTATATTGAAAAAGAGTTCTGGAAAGAACTGACCTTAATGTCCCTGTCTTAAAAAGTCATGTCAGTCTAGGATGGAAAAATCATCTAAACAATGATGACCACACAGTGGCAGTCAGTGTCAAAGGGCGGGCTAAGTGTTTAACACATATAATTTCATTGGCTTGGCCGGGCGTGGTGGCTCACGCCTGTAATCCCAGCACTTTGGGAGGCTGAGGCGGGTGGATCACGAGGTCAAGAGATCGACACCATCCTGGTCAACATGGTGAAACCCCGTCTCTACTAAAAATATAAAAATTAGCTGGGCATTGTGGCGCACGCCTGTAGTCCCAGCTACTCGGGAGGCTGAGACAGGAGAATGGCTTGAACCCAGGAGGCAGAGGTTGTGGGGAGGCTGAGCTGAGATCGAGCCATTTGCACTCCAGCCTGGGTAACAAGAGCGAAACTCTGTCTCAAAATAAATAAATAATAATAATAATAATAATAATAATAATTTCATTGGCTCTTACCATCCCCAGAGGCGGATGAAGTTACTCCATATCCTACCCTTGAAAAGACCCACACGAGGAGAAGTTCAATAGTTTGCCTCAGTTGCCAAGGATCTTTTAATAATAGGACCAGGGTCCCAACTAAATGAGAAACATGTGCCAAGAGACTGTAGCTTACCAAAGCTTCCTGGAGAGGGGTCCAATTGGCTGTCATCATTTAAAAGAATTTTTTTCCACGGCATATTTAGCACTACATGTACCACTGACTCTGCTGCCTGAGTTTCCACTCACTTAGGAGGGGGTTTCTCCTTAGCAAGCTGGTAGGAGAAGCAGCATAAATGCTCCAAACTCCCATGCAATACTTTCAGAAGGCAACAGGCAGCACTGTCAACAAGTAAATGCAACCTGTAACTTAAAACCAGGTCACAAGCTTAAGGACTTGTTCAACAGACCCACTGCTCTTAAAACAAAGCTTACCACTAGGTGGCAGCAGTACAGCATGCTTTGTAAATTAAAACGGCAGGACATTTTCCCAGCTCTTTTTCACAGCAATACACAATCTTGTTAAACTGCTTACAATTTTTCAGATTGTTTTGTCATTTTTAGGGTATTATGATATAAATAAGTAATTCTAAATAAAAATGATTCTGCCTATTGAAAGTACATTATAATATTTATTTTAAATAACACCATAATTTATGTTGATTACAACCTTCTCACATTCAACAAAATAAGTTTTAATTTGCTTTAATCCTGTAAGTAGAACCATACTGTTAATGCACTGAATAAAAAAACTGTGTCCTGACTCATAGTAATGACTGAAATTTAATTTTTTAATACTATAATATAGACAAAAACTGCTTTTAAGTCATCGAGTTTGGAATTCTTGCATTTCACAAACTTTTTGTTTCCTTTGGTTTGTATTTTGTTTCTCAAAGCCAAAATAATGAAGATTTCAGGTTCTACTTCACAAGCACTTCTGTGGGAGTAACACCAAAAATCCTCAACACATAAAATGCAAACTGGGTAAAGTCACAGCTATATTTTCCCTTTTTGACATACAGAGGGGCAAAACCCCATCTCTACAAAAAATGCACAAAAATTAGCCGGGTGTGGTGGCAGGTGACTATAATCCTAGCTACTCAGGAGGCTGAGGCAGGTGAACTGCTTGAACCTGAGAGATGGGGGTTGCAGTGAGCTGGGGATGAGGATGCACCACTGCACTCCAGCCTGGGTGACAGAGTGAGTGAAACTCTGTCTCAAACAAGCAAATAAATAAATAAATGTACAAGAGGAAGCTTGATGTGCTATATAAGAATTCTGAGGCGGGGCATGGTGGCTCATACCTATAATCCCAGCATTTGGGAGGCCGAGGTAGGCTAATCCCTTGAGGCCAAGAGTTTGAGATCAGCTTGACGAATGTGGCAAAACCCTGTCTCTCAAACATTACAAAAATTAACCATGTTAGCACATGCTTGTAATCCCAGCTACTTGGGAAGCTGAGACATGAGAATTGCTTAAACTCGATAGGCAGAGGTTGCAGTGAGCTGAGATCACACCACTGCACTGCACTGCACTCCAGCCTGGGTGACTGAGACTGTCTCAAAAAAAAAAAAGAATTTTGAAGATACAAATGCAACTGAAAAAGGTGATGAATATTTGGAGGCAAATCTGTGGAATTATCAACATATGTGCACCTTTAATAAATTGGATTTCAATATAATTGTTCTGCTTTCTATCTTTGGAGATCTTTTGTGTGTAGATATTAAATTCTATATAACTAAGAATAGCAAATATACATATAAAACCATAAAATGGTCAAAATCACCCGGGCAAATAACTAAACACTAGTTAACATATAATCACTTAAAGGTTCTCAGGAATAAAATATTTCAATGATTTTTTAAAAATTAATTTTGTTAAGTGGAAAATAAAATCCAATCTTTAACATAAAGAACCCTCCAGAAGTATACAAACCCTTTTTTAGGAAGGGAAGTTTCCAAACTATGAATGGGGCAGGCACGGTGTTTAATGGAAGGAATGTTACCCTTCATCGCACCCAGGAATGAGTGAAGAGTTGGTCAGTTGTACACACCGGAGCTGGCAGAACTGGAACTCCTTCCTAAGTCTGGCAACTAGTTCTGTGTCCTCACAACCTCCACATGCTCAAATATGCAAATGAGCAGATGACTGTCAATATTCAAGACCTCTGAAAGAAAGTGGTGAGCTCTCCACAGGAACCTCAGGTCACAGAGAATGTGCAGTCTCTCTTTTCTGGCTGCCCAGGGGCACTCAAGACTAATCTCAATCTCCTGAAAGTACTCTGTAATAGTCCTACTTTCTAGGTCTTTCTACAAAGGTTCTACTAACCAGGTCTCTTTGTACAGCAAAGGTCAACATGGACACTGCAGAGGCCGTCCTGATGTCTGAGTTTGCAAACCTTTCTGTACAATCATTCATCTGCAGGCGTTAAGACAAAACTGAGGTCCTCCCCAGGGATGGGTGGAAAGGAACATTTGCTAGGGGATTATTTTCTACGGCAAGCACCAATCTATACCTGCAAATCGATCTAGAAATGTATGTGAAAAATAATCTGCAAGATATACACATGAATGCACTTCCCTGCATTCCAGCTACGTAACTAAATGCTTTATAAAGCGAAAATTATACAGTTGTCTGGATGTTTGACAAAATATTATAAAAAATGCTGTTGTAACCTTGACAGCTACTAGCTGAGTCAACTCATGAGATGCTTATGATCAACTCTAAAATAAGTACAATAACCCATCATAAAAATCTCTTTGAACAAGCATCATTCAAAGGTTGACAAGTACCAAGCTGCATGTCCCTAATTAATTCCTAGGAAATTACACAGACTTAGTGATGGTTGTGGGAGACAGACAGGTTCTTAGCTGGGAGTAGATGGGTCCCCAGTGAAACCCCATCTTCAAGCCAGGGACGGCCTGAAGCCTTAGAGCCCAGATGCCAGTTCCGAGTGAAGTCAGTGACCTGGAGTGAGAACTTTCTTGATGCCTTTCAACTAATCAAGTGGTGCTTTTTCAGGCCCGCCCATGGACCAATCAGCATGCACTTCCTCCATTCTGAGCCCATAAAACCTCAGACTCAGCCACTCATCAGAGGAGCAACCCACTGCAGGTTTCCTCTCTGCTGAGAGCTGTTCAGGCACCCAGTAAAGCTCTTTTCAGCCTTGCTCACCCTTCATGTGTTCATGTTGGTTAGGTAATAACCTGTCGTATTTTCATAGGACCCTTTGGGTGTCACTTAACAGAAAGAATTTCTCTTTTAGTCTCTTAACAGAAAGAATTTCACCTATATGTGCTTTGTGAGAAAGGTTACAGAAACAGCTTAAAATATAAGGAAGAAAGATACGGGTAATAAAAACGGTGCATCTAATGGCTGCATAGAGCAGACAACAGTTTGTTTACAACTTATTTCCCCCCACCCCAGAATCTAGTACCTGGTACATGTTCAATAAACATCTTTTGAATGAACAGTATGGCAAAAGCCATCTCAATGAATCTGATACATTGGCAATTTATTTCAAAGGAGATAGATATTATTTCTGAACTTGGTAAACAGCAACTTGACAACTCCTATTCCCACTAATAACTGTAGGGCAACTAGGTCAGCGCAGGGCTACCAACTTGACAGGTTAGGGACCAAGGGCAACACCTGTGCAGCAAGGTAATCTTTAGGTGAGGCAAGAGTGCCCCTGTGCAAGCTCCCTTCCCGAAGCAGGGTCGCCCACATGAGGGACCTTGCTGCTGCCCTTACCTCCTCCTCCTCCTTTTCTTCTGGGCCGGCTGCCCCACCAATGTTCACCAGAAGGCCCTTGCCCTCATCACTATGTGTGGCTTCCAAAGAATCCTGCAAGGACACAGGCTCCGGCTCTCTCTGATCAGGCTCTTCTGTTTTTCCTTCACTTTCCTCTGAACTTATGGATGGGGCACTGCGATTGCTGTGACACTCAGCACTTCCCGTCCCTGGGCTCTGAGGGCTTTGGGGCTTGGGTGTGGTGGGCCGTAGAGGGGTGGGAGGCTGCCCAGGGTCAAATGTCAACTGGCTGCCAGCATCTGGGTCATGAGAGTCTTTGCTCAACACATCCTGGGCAATCGGGCTTGGCAAGGAGCTTCTAGTGCAAGGACTGTAGCTTTCCACTGCCCAGGAACTTTTGGCTTCAAGAGGAAACACGGCAGTGTCGGTGTTTAGACAGGGCCCCTTAGAGGTGGCTGAGCTGAAACCACGGGCCACAGAGCAGTCTGCAGTGGTGCCATGCCTGACCACCACACCCCGCCTGCTATCCTGCTCGGTGTTCCTGGATACACGGCGTGAGTAGTCGTCATGCAGCTGGCTGTGTGCCTGGAGTCTCAGGCTGGCCTCACCAGGGGATGGAGCCCCACTCCTGGGACTCTCCCTCCTCCAGGCAGCCTCGGTCACATTGCTCACAAGTTCGAAGACTCTGTCAAAGTCCTTGGCCCTTATCGGGCTCCTCCAGCGTTTGGTCCTTCCTGACCCGAGCTTTTGGGAGTCAGCAGAGGAACTGCTCAGGGTCCTCTGTGGCACCTGTGCATAATGGGCTGTCCTGAGGTCTGCAAGATTGGAGGTGGACTTCCGCTTAAAGGAGCTCTTCTTCAGAAAGGCGAGGTTGTCGGTGCTCTTGCTCTTCCTGCAGCCCATGCTGTTGTTCTCAGGGTCCCTCACGAGAATCTCACATGTGGTGGGTGCCTGGCCAGTGGCTATCGTGGGTGTGGCATGGTTCTGGGGCATGTCCAGCAGGCAGATGCGGCCCAGGCCGTAGGCTCTGCGGAGGCTGCGGGAGCGGTGCGTGCTCCGCTGAAAGGCATCATCCGTGTCCTCAGGGTCAGAGCCATCCAATGTGCCCCACTCTGCTGCCCTGGGGGCGCCACGCGCTGCTCCTGGTGCCAAGGGGGATTCCCTGTTTGCCTGGGCTCCTGGGACAGTGCCATTTGCAATGGGTTTTGCCAGGCCATGCTCTGAAGCCTCTCCCTTTGAACAGGCATTTGACCCCTCTCGGCTCTGAATTCCTTTCAGGACTGAGGACTTCAGTTTCTTAAAGGATCCCATTTTCCGGAAGGAGGCAAGGGTGTTCCACGCGGAGGAGTTGCCCACCAGGACCACAGAGTGGGGCCGCTCGGGGTGAGCATTCGTCTTCTTCCGACTGGTGGAAAAGAGGCGCACAAGCTTGGCTGGGCTGAGTTTGGCTTCCCGGGTGTCCGTGTCGCCACCAGGATTGCAGCCACAGACTCCGTTTCCACATGTAGTGGAGGTCACCATCTTGAGGTCTTTCAGGTCCGGGCCTGGACAGGGGGCTGCAGGGCCTGGCCCGGGGCCATTTGGGGCAGTGGTCATGTTCTCTGGGCAGGGTGCCCAGGGCTGCAGGGCAGCCTGGGTCATGGCCATGGGCACAGCCGAGTCCACAGGCCGCAGCTCCAGGTCTTCATCTCCAGGACCGCCGTCCTGGCATGCACACCTGTCTTGTGCATTGGGCTCCCGGGTGGCCACGGCCTGTAGTGGAAGACAAGGCAGGAAGTTTAGCCATTTCCCCACACAGCAGACCCTCTGCTTACAGAAGAAGAGGCATGCTTCAGCACAGGGGTGCTCAGATGAAAGCCACTTCAAACTCAGTTAAAACTGTACATTTGGGCCGGGCGTGGTGGCTCAAGCCTGTAATCCCAGCACTTTGGGAGGCCTAGGTGGGTGGATCAGGAGGTCAAGAGATCAAGACCATCCTGGTCAACATGGTGAAACCCCGTCTCTACTAAAAATACAAAAAATTAGCTGGGCATGGTGGTGCGTGCCTGTAATCCCAGCTACTCAGGAGGCTGAGGCAGGAGAATTGCCTGAACCCAGGAGGCGGAGGTTGCGGTGAGTCAAGATCGCACCATTACATTCCAGCCTGGGTAACAAGAGCAAAACTTTGTCTCAAAACAAAAAACAAAAACAAAAATAACTGTATATTTCCCCTCCATTCACTTCACAAGTCGAAGGAAAGATGCAAATATACATCCCTGGACAGAGAAGGGTAGTGATGGGCTGTGCCATGGACATGAAGGTTAAACTCCTGAACTCGCTGGAACCTGCGTAGGTAAGACTAGGAAAAAGCTGCTAAAATGAAAATACCTAGGTATCATTCAACACTATCTTTCCTGCTTATTTGAAATGAGGGAAAAAAATAATTAGGAAATACCAAACAAAAACCCCACAACGATTTCAAAATGTGTAACGTTGAAATGCCAGCCTGTGTTGAATTCAACACAGTGAACACTCAAACCAAGTGCCGGCACATGCAGGAAGCCTGGCATGCTGGCAGCTACCTCCTACCCAGGAGGGCTGGGACGCCCAAATGCTAACTGAGAGCCACACTGGGCCACCCAAACACAGATGGGAGGGACTGAGCTGGGACATGCTAGGGCAGCTTCTGGAAGGAAGCACATTGGTGGGGGGCTTTTTCCAACTGGCCACGGACTGGAGACAAGTGAGTCTGCTGCTGAAGTATATTGGAAATTCAGGGCTGGGGGACTTCCGGCCAAGACGGCCGAACAGGAACAGCTCCGAGGCACAGTTCCCAGTGAGAGCGATGCAGCACGAGTGATCTCCACATTTCCAACTGAGGTACCACGTTCATCTCAACGGGACTGCTTGGACAGCAGGTGTAGCCCCAGGATGGCAAACTGAGACAGGGTGGGGCATTGCCTCACCCAGGAAGTGCAATGGGCCAGAGGACCCCGCTCCTACCCAATGGAGGCCATCAGGGACTTTTTGGCCACTCTAGCACTCTGGTTCAGATACTGTACTTTTCCCACGGTGTTTACAGCCCACAGACCAGGAGATTCCCGCCAGGCCGACAAGCACTGCGGGTTTTCAGCACAAATCTGGGCAGCTGTTTTAGCTGGCACCTAGAAGACTGAAAAAAAAGGGGACTGAAGGCAGGGGGCCAAGTGATCTGGCTCAGCAGGTCCCACACCTACAAAGACTTGCAAACTGAAACCCACTGGCTTGAAATTTTTGCAGCCAGCACAATAGTTTAAGCCTGACCCAGGACAGTCAAGATTGCTGGGGGAAAGGGCGTCCGCCATTACTGAGGCAGTCTGCCATTACCAAGGCAGTTCTAACCTAACCTGTGTAAACAAAATTGCAACGAAGTTTACACAACAGCTGGGTGGAGACTGCAGCAGCTCAGCAACGCCTCTGCAGGCAGACTGACTAGACTCCCAGCTGGGCAGGGCATCTCTGAAAAAAGGCAGCAGCTCATCAGGGACTTATAAGTAAAGCCCTACTTTCCTGGGACAGAGCACCTGGGAAAAGAGGTGGTTGTGAGTGCTGCTGCAAACTTAAATGTCCCTGCCCAGCAGCTCTAAACGGAACCAGGGAGCTCCCAGCACAGCATCTGAACTCTGATAAGGGATCTGGCTCCTCAAGCAGCTCCCTGAGCCTCGTATATCCAAAGAGCCACCTCACACAGGAAAGCTCTGGCTGACATCTGGCAGGTAGGCTTCTGGGACAAAGCTACCAGAGGAAGGAACAGGTGGCAATCCTTGCCCCTGTGGGTGACTCCCAGGCAAACAGGGTCTGGAATGGACCTCCAGCAATCCTACAGCAGAGGGGCCTGACTGTTAGAAGGAAAACTAAAAACAGAAAGAAATAGCTTCAACATCAACAGAAAGGACATCCACTCAGAGACCTCATCTGAAATTCAGCCACTTCAAAGACCAAAGGTAAATAAATCAATGAAGATGGGAAGAAACCAGTGCAAAAATGATGAAATCACCAAAAGCCAGAATGCCTCTCCTCCCCCTCCAAGGGATCAAAACTCCTCACCAGCAAGGGAACAAAACTGGATGGAGAATGAGTTTGACAAACTGACAGAAGACTTCAGAAGGTGGATCATAACAAACTTCTCTGAGCTAAAGAAACATGTTCTAACCCAATACAAAGAAACTAAGAACCTTGAGAAAAGGTTAGACGAATGCTAACTAAAATAACCAGCTTAGAGAAGAACATAAACGACTTCATGGAGCTGAAAAGCACAACACGAGAACTTCACGAAGCATACAAGTTTCAACAGCCAAATCGATCAAACAGAAGAAAGGATATCAGAGATTGAAGATCAACTCAATGAAATAAAACGAGAAGGCAAGATTAGAGAAAAAAGAGTGAAAAGAAATAAAGCCTCCAAGAAATATGGGATTATGTAAAAAGATCTAATCTACGTTTGATCGGTGTACCTGAATGTGATGGGGAGAATGAATCCAAGCTGGAAAACACTCTTCAGGATATTATCCAGGAGAAGTTCCCCAACCTAGCAAGGCTGAAGGTCCCCTGCCTTCAGTCCCCTTTTTTTTCAGTCAAATTCCTAACATTCAAATTCAGGAAATACAGAAAACAAAGATATTCCTCAAGAAGAGCAAACCCAAGGCACATAATCATCAGATTCTCCAGGGTTGAAATGAAGGAAAAAATGCTAAGGGCAGCCGGAGAGAAAGGTCAGGTTACCCACAAAGGGAAGCCGATTAGACTCACAGCAGATCTCTCAGCAGAAACCCTACAAGTCAGAAGAGAGTGGGGGCCAATCTTCAACATCCTTAAAGAAAAGAACTTTCAACCCAGAATTTCATATCCAGCCAGACTAAGCTTCATAAGTGAAGGAGAAATAAAATCCTTTACAGACAAGCAATTGCTCAGAGATTTCATCACCACCAGGCCTGCCTTATAAGAGCTCCTGAAAGACTAAACATGGAAAGGAACAACCAGTACCAGCCACTGCAAAAACATACCCAATGGTAAAGACTGTCAACACAATGAAGAAACTGGATCAACTAATGGGCAAAACAACCAGCTAATATCAAAATGGCGGGATCAAATCCACATGTAACAATATTAACCTTAAATGTAAACAGCCTAAATGCCCCAATCAAAAGACACAGACTGGCAAGTTGGATAAAAAGTCAAGATCCATTGGGGTGTAGTATTCAGGAGACCCATCTCACGTGCAAAGACACACATAGACTAAAAATAAAGTGATGGAGGAAGATTTACCAAGAGAATGGAGAGCAAAAAAAAAAAAAAAAAAAGCAGGAGTAGCAATCCTAGTCTCTGACAAAACAGACTTTAAACCAACAAAGACCAAAAGAGACAAAAAGGGCATTACAAAATGGTAAAAGGATCAATGCAACAAGAAGAGCTAACCATCCTAAATATATATGCACCCAATACAGGAGCACCCAGATACATAAAGAAAATTCTTAATGACCTACAAAGAGACTTAGACTCCCACACAATAATAGTCCACTGTCAATATTAGATAGATCAACAAGACAGAAAATTAACAAGGATATCTAGGACTTGACTCAGATCTGGACCAAGCAGACCAAATATAAATCTCCAAAACTCTCCACCCCAAATCCACAGAGTATACAATCTTCTCAGCACCACATTGCACTTAACTCTAAAATTGACCACATAATTGGAAGTAAATCACTCCGCAGCAAATGCAAAAGAATGGAAATCATAACAACCAGTCTCTCAGATCACAGTGCAATCAAATTAGAACTCAGGATTAAGAAACTCACTCAAAACAGCACAATAACATGAAAACTGAACAACCTGCTCTACTGGATAGATAATGAAATGAAGGCAGAAATAAAAATGTTCTTCAAAACCAATGAGAACGAAGACACAACATACCAGAATCTCTGGGACACATTTAAAGCAGTGTCTAGCGGGAAATTTACAGCACGAAATGCCCAGTATGAGAACCAAGGAAAGATCTAAAATCGACACCCTATGGTCACAATTAAAAGAGCTAGAGAAGCAAGATCAAACAAATTCAAAAGCTAGCAGAAGACAAGTAATAACTAAGATCAGAGCAGAACTGAAGGAGATTGAGACACAAAAAAACCCTTCAAAAAATCAATAAATCCAGGTGCTGTTTTTTGAAAAGATCAACAAAACAGATAGACTGCTAGCCAGACTAATAAAAAAGAAAAGAGAGGAGAATAGAATAGATGGAATAAAAAATGATAAAGGGGATATCACCATCAATCCCACAGAAATATAAACTACCATCAGAGATTATTACAAACAACTCTATGCACATAAATCAGTAAATCTAGAAGAAATAGGTAAATTCCTGGATACTTACACCCACCCAAAACTAAACCAGGAAGAAGTTGAAATCCTGAACAGGGCTGAAGGGCTGAGGACTGAAGTTGAGGCAGGAATTAATAGCCTACCAACCAAAGAAAGTCCAGGTCCAGATGGGTTCACAGCCAAATTCTACCAGACGGACAAAGTGGAGCTGGTACCATTTCTTCTGAAACTATCCCAAACAATACAAAAAGAGGGAATCCTCCCTTACTCATTTTATGAGATCAACATCATCCTGATACCAAAACCTGGCAGAGGCACAACTAAAAAAGAAAATTTCAGGCCAATATTCATAATGAACATCAATGCTAAAATCTTCAATAAAATACTGGCAAACCAAATGCAACAGTACATCAAAA